GTACCTTCATGATTGTTATGAAGTGTACCTTTATGATTGTTATGAAGTTTACCTTTATGATTGTTATGAAGTGTACCTTAATGATTGTTATGAAGTGTACCTTTATGATTGTTATGAAGTGTACCTTTATGATTGTTGTAAAGTGTACCTTCATGATTGTTATGAAGTGTACCTTCATGATTGTTATGAAGTGTACCTTAATGATTGTTATGAAGTGTACCTTTATGATTGTTATGAAGTGTACCTTAATGATTGTTATGAAGTGTACCTTTATGATTGTTATGAAGTGTACCTTCATGATTGTTATGAAGTGTACCTTCATGATTGTTATGAAGTGTACCTTCATGATTGTTATGAAGTGTACCTTTATGATTGTTATGAAGTGTACCTTTATGATTGTTGTGAAGTGTACCTTCATGATTGTTATGAAGTGTACCTTCATGATTGTTATGAAGTGTACCTTTATGATTGTTATGAAGTGTACCTTCATGATTGTTATGAAGTGTACCTTTATGATTGTTATGAAGTGTACCTTTATGATTGTTATGAAGTGTACCTTTATGATTGTTATGAAGTGTACCTTCATGATTGTTATGAAGTGTACCTTTATGATTGTTATGAAGTGTACCTTTATGATTGTTATGAAGTGTACGAGTATGATTGTTTTGAAGTGAGTTTACCAATATGATTGTTATGCAATGTAAGTGCTTATATGATTGTTGTAGAGTGTGCTTATGTGATTGTTATGGAGTATAACTATGATTGTGGTGGAGTATAACTATGATTGTGGTGCAGTGTAACTATGATTGTGATGGAGTGTAACTATGATTGTGATGGAGAGTAACTATGATTGTGGTGGAGTGTAACTATGATTGTGTTGGAGTATAACTATGATTGTGATTGAGTGTAACTATGATTGTGATGGAGAGTAACTATGATTGTGGTGGAGTGTAACTATGATTGTGTTGGAGTATAACTATGATTGTGTTGGAGTGTAACTATGATTGTGTTGGAGTATAACTATGATTGTGTTGGAGTATAACTATGATTGTGTTGGAGTGTAACTATGCTTGTAGTGGAGTGTAACTATATGACTGTGGTAAAGTGTAACTATGATTGTGGTGGAGTGTAACTATATGACTGTGGTAAAGTGTAACTATGATTGTGGTGGAGTGTAACTATGATTGTGGTGGAGTGAAACTATGATTGTGGTGGAGTGTAAATATATGATTGTGGTGGAGTGTAACTATGTGGTAGTGTGGAGTGTAACTATGATTGTGGTGGAGTGTAACTATGTGGTGGTGGAGTGTAACTATGATTGTGGTGGAGTGTAACTATGTGGTGGTGGAGTGTAACTATGATTGTGGTGGAGTGTAACTATGATTGTGGTGGAGTGTAAATATATGATTGTGGTGGAGTGTAACTATGTGGTGGTGGAGTGTAACTATGATTGTGGTGGAGTATAACTATGATTGTGGTGGAGTGTAACTATGATTGTGGTTAAGTGTAACTATGATTGTGGTGGCGTATAACTATGATTGTGGTGGAGTGTAATTATGATTGTGGTGGAGTGTAACTATGATTGTGGTTAAGTGTAACTATGATTGTGGTGTAGTATAACTATGATTGTGGTGGAGTGTAACTATGATTGTGGTGGAGTGTAGCTATGAGCGTGGTGGAGTGTAACTATGATTGTGTTTGAGAGTAATTATGATTGTGGTGGAGTGTAACTATGATTGTGGTGGAGAATAAGTATGATTCTGGTGGAGTATAACTATGATTGTGGTGGAGTGTAGCTATGAGCGTGGTGGAGTGTAACTATGATTGTGGTTGAGAGTAATTATGATTGTGGTGGAGTGTAACTATGATTGTGGTGGAGTGTAACTATGATTGTGCTGGAGTATAACTATGATTGTGGTGGAGTGTAACTATGATTGTGTTGGAGTATACCTATGATTCTGGTGGAATGTAACTATGAGTGTGGTAGAGTGCAACTTTGTGGTGGAGTATAACTATGATCGTGGTGGAGTGTAATTATGATTGTGGTTCAGTATAACTATGATTGTGGTGGAATGTAACTATGATTGTGGTGGAATGTAACTATGATTGTAGTGGAATGTAACTATGATTGTGGTGGAGTGTAACTATGATTTTGGTGGAGTATAACTACAATTGTAGTGGAGTGTAACTATGATTGTGGTGGAGTGTAACTATGATTGCGGTGGAATGTAACTATGATTGCGGTGGAATGTAACTATGATTGCGGTGGAATGTAACTATGATTGTGGTGGAATGTAACTATGATTGTGGTGGAATGTAACTATGATTGTGGTGGAATGTAACTATGATTGCGGTGGAGTGTAACTATGATTGCGGTGGAATGTAACTATGATTGTGGTGGAATGTAACTATGATTGCGGTGGAATGTAACTATGATTGTAGTGGAATGTAACTATGATTGTGGTGGAATGTAACTATGATTGTGGTGGAATGTAACTATGATTGTAGTGGAATGTAACTATGATTGTAGTGGAATGTAACTATGATTGTAGTGGAATGTAACTATGATTGTGGTGGAATGTAACTATGATTGTGGTGGAATGTAACTATGATTGCGGTGGAGTGTAACTATGATTGCGGTGGAATGTAACTATGATTGTGGTGGAATGTAACTATGATTGCGGTGGAATGTAACTATGATTGTAGTGGAATGTAACTATGATTGTGGTGGAATGTAACTATGATTGTGGTGGAATGTAACTATGATTGTAGTGGAATGTAACTATGATTGTAGTGGAATGTAACTATGATTGTAGTGGAATGTAACTATGATTGTGGTGGAATGTAACTATGATTGTGGTGGAATGTAACTATGATTGTGGTTGAGTGTAACTATATGACTGTGGTGGAGTGTAACTATGATTGTGGTGGAGTGTAACTATGATCGTGGTGGATTATAATTATGATTGTGGTGGAGTATAGCTATGTTGTGGTGGTGGAGTGTAACTGTGTGGTGGTGGAGTGTAACTGTGTGGTGGTGGAGTGTAACTGTGTGGTGGTGGAGTGTAACTGTGTGGTGGTGGAGTGTAACTGTGTGGTGGTGGAGTGTAACTGTGTGGTGGTGGAGTGTAACTGTGTGGTGGTGGAGTGTAACTGTGTGGTGGTGGAGTGTAACTGTGTGGTGGTGGAGTGTAACTGTGTGTTGGTGGAGTGTAACTGTGTGGTGGTGGAGTGTAACTGTGTGGTGGTGGAGTGTAACTGTGTGGTGGTGGAGTGTAACTGTGTGGTGGTGGAGTGTAACTGTGTGGTGGTGGAGTGTAACTGTGTGGTGGTGGAGTGTAACTGTGTGGTGGTGGAGTGTAACTTGTGTTGGTGGAGTGTAACTGTGTGGTGGTGGAGTGTAACTGTGTGGTGGTGGAGTGTAACTGTGTGGTGGTGGAGTGTAACTGTGTGGTGGTGGAGTGTAACTGTGTGGTGGTGGAGTGTAACTGTGTGGTGGTGGAGTGTAACTGTGTGGTGGGGAGTGTAACTGTGTGGTGGTGGAGTGTAACTGTGTGGTGGTGGAGTGTAACTGTGTGGTGGTGGAGTGTAACTGTGTGGTGGTGGAGTGTAACTGTGTGTGGTGGAGTGTAACTGTGTGGTGTGGAGTGTAACTGTGTGGTGGTGGAGTGTAACTGTGTGGTGGTGGAGTGTAACTGTGTGGTGGTGGAGTGTAACTATGTAATAGAGTATATACAACTAAAAGATTGTTATACAGTGTAACTGTATAATTGTAGTAGAGTGTAACAATATATTGTAGTGAAGTGTTTTAACAATATTGTTGAAGAGTGAAGCTACATGGTTACAGTGGAATCTGTGTGTAACTATGATTAATGTTACAGATGTACATATTGGTTAATGGGGCGTCATTAACTCATTTACCAAACTATTATACTGCTGCTACTGTATCTACTACTACTACTACTACTACTACTACTACTACTACTACTACTACTACTATTACTACTACTGCTACTACTACTACTACTACTACTACTACTACTACTACTATTACTACTACTACTACTACTGCTACTACTGCTACTACTACTACTACTACTACTACTAACTGCTACTACTACTACTACTACTACTACTACTACTACTACTACTACTACTACTACTGCTACTACTACTACTATACTACTACTACTACTACTACTACTGCTACTACTACTACTAACTACTACTACTTACTACTACTACTACTACTACTGCTGTGTTTCGTCTTATCAAGAGCGCAGCAACACCTTTTTATATTTGAGTTTTATCTAAGGTACAACAACACCTACTGTTTCAGTTTTGTTTTACCATTGCTACCAATAATTACACATCCAGATGTCCTAACTTATATGCAACTAACTTATATGCAACTAACTTATATGCAACTAACTTAAGATGAAGTTATGACTACTGTGGCCACCTGGTTATCAATCATAAACTTCTAACATTAAATCACTAAATTGTAATAAGGTAAATAAAGCTAAATCAAACTGTTTAATATTTAAGACTTACACGGGATGATACTTCTGCTGTTGGTGTAGCAATCGTATGTCTCTTGATAAGTTTGGGAACCGTCTCTTCCGCGGCTTGGTCCCAGACCAGGCTTCAGAAATTGGAAAATAATTACAGGAATAACGGATATTATGAAATTACGCAGGAAACAATGTATACAGTGAATGTAAGCACATATTTTGCAAGACTTTTTGGTTTCATGTTAATTCGTCAGGAAATATAATGCTAGAATTCTCAACACTGACCTAGCAGGATATTACTTATTAATCTGCAATGAAGACTAGGCAATTTCAAAAATTCTGTAGCGTTTATATTCTTTTGTTGCCGCTTTTATTTTTCACTCATATTCTGCAAATCTGAAGTTTCTCAATTTGGGGCTGACCAGTGATTGTGGAAACTTTGTTTATGTAAACTTCTGGAATAATGTAAACTGTGTTTTCCAACAGACAACTGTGCCATTAGCTAAGATCAACAGCAGGACGAGCAGAAGCTGAGAGCAGCAGGCGCAGCAGCAACAGTAGGAACAATAACGGCAGCAGCAGTAACAGACTCAGTAATCACAGCAGTAGCTGAGATCAGCTGGAAGATGAGGTGGTGGTGGTGGTGGTGGTTGAATGTGATGGTGGTGGTGATGATAGTGATGGTGGTAAGGTCAACCATGGCAGCCCAGAACCCTCTTAAACACCATCATGATGATAATGATCATGATGATAATGACAATGAGTTGCCAATAGTTAGAGTTATCAGACAAATTTTCTTTCCGGAACCTGCTTCAGGTTTGTGCTCGTATTGTATACTATTGCTGCTGCTACTACTTGATCCAAGGAATAAGAGCCTCCCTCCACTTCCTCGGATCAAACCAGATTGCTCCCATTCCCCAGGCTCTGTATGACTCTTACAGTTTCAGAGTTTCCATATGAGCATACTGCTATTCTTCTACTTTAATCGTTAAAATATGAAAAACAAATATTGTTCATACATCTTAAAATAATAATAATAATAATAATAATAATAATAATAATAATAATAATAATAATAATAATAATAATAATAATAATAATAATAATAATAATATAGACGTTTACCTTGCGCCATATATACATCAAGCCCAATGTATTTTACGCAGGATTTTTGGAGAGAATTTCGAGGCCCTTAGAACCCAATCTCTTTACTTCCGGGGATTGTTCCTGCGCTTCCTTAGTGAGCTGCCCCTCAGCCGTAGATCAGGTAAGATAATCAGCTGTGCTAAGTGACAGCATCCTTCATACACTGCAGCGAGGTAGTCACACAAGTATAGGTATGACATTACCCACAAACTGTGCAAAAGAGGCCCTTTTGCAGCATTTACGTTTTATTAAGTATCGTTTCGTCCACAGTTCTTTTTTGTCAATGCACTGAACAGGAAAAAACAAAGACTATATATGGGAGGTAAATTAGGTGATCTAGGCAGTCAGGTGTGGCGATGTTAGGTGTTTTACTGAAGGTGAAAGGCTCCAACTTTTACTATAAAGTCACTGGTTTTACACACACACACTTCCTGATTCCACTATTAGAGATGTTTTGAATTTATTCGCCCTTCATGCACGTAATTGTTAACTAAGATCTCGCATTATCCTCAGTGTTAAAAACTGCGCAAACAAAAGAGTCATGAGTGTGAATTCTCACCTGCGTCATGACATGCAGGCACCTTTACCCTTAGGAAGAAAAGACAACGAGTACCTGGAGTTTACCAGGAGTTGCTTGCGGAGATCACTGCCCTAACGGCACGGTTCCAGATCAGGCCTCCTGATTCCTGGCCTGATTGAGCAAGTTGCTAGCGCCCTCTGTCCGCAGTCCAACGTATATGCACCACAACCAGCTATTCAGGAACTATCTTGAGAAATCTACAGAGTTCTCTCTTGAAGACAGCTAGGAGTTTATTGGTAATCCCCTTTATGCATGGAGGGTGTGGGAGAGTCGTGGTCCCTTAACGTTTATTCAGTTTTCTCTCACTGTACTCGTTGCTCCCCTTCTTTTCATTGGAGGTATCCTGCACAGTATGCTAGGACTATTGTGTTCACGAAGCAGTAGTTTCGATGTGCAGCTTTAGGACCAATCCTCCCAGTATCTTCCAAGGGTAGATCAGGATGTATTTTTCTCGTCTACATTTCAAGAAATACAGTTGTAGGGACTATCACCACTCCCAGTAATTTAGGTTTATCCTTTGTATGATTTTCATGTGTCAATCCCTCATATTTTATACTTTTATCTCTCAAACATTTTTCATGTGTTTATCTCATGATTTAAACTTTTATCTCTCATATGTTTGATATGAACGTTTCTACTGCATCAAACGTTTCCAGTTTTTGTTATGGTGAGCTTCTTTATATTTGTAATTAGATCCAGTTAGAGTGTTCTCTGCCTGATGGTGATCCTGGGGTCTGCTGTCCTCCACCTACCCTCGTCGGTAGGTACCGTAAATCTTTGTCTTAACATTCTTCTAATACTATTGAATTTTCTTTAAGACTAATAAATAAAAGTGATTTTAAGGACCATATAAATGTATTTAAATAATGGGCTTTTGACCTTCAATACCCATGTACTTAAAAAATATTACAGATTCTCAAATTCAGATCCTGTTATGGGCCTGATGCTACTTTCCCTACTTTCTACTACCAGTACTACTTCTACTACTATTTCCGCTAACAGCCTTACCAAAACCACTATTTCTTTTTCTTCTTCTTATGGTCTCCGTCTCTGTTCCTCTCGCCAGCGGGAGATTCATCTGTAAAAACTTGCATTTGTGGTCACAGTGGTGGCTCATGCTAACCATTCTATGATGTATAAGTATACCTACTTGGATGAATCTTATTGTAGCCAACTGGCCCAGTTGTTTACGCACTGGCCTGGAGTTTTACGACTCCCTTGTCATGAGTTCTAACCCTATATATTTTTATGTCGACAGCCTCGGCGTCGTTGGTGAGCAAGAAGGTGTTCACTAGCCCTAACATTAATGTCCAGATGAAAAGACTGAACTCAGATATGGTCAACGCTGCCTGTGATAAAGGTCTCCAACATGTGAACAACATCAGCCACCTCGAGGACGACCTTATCCGGTGAGAGGGAAAGAAAGTGGGAGGAAGAGAGGGAGAGTGTAGGAAAGGAAGAGTTGAAAAACGGTAGGAGAGAGAGAGGAGGAGGAGGATAAGGAAAGAGAGAGAGAACGATACAAAGTGAAGAAGGGAATGGGAGAGAATGAAAATGACATAAACTCACAATGATAGAAGGTGCACCATTACCCCTCCTTAGGTGTGTATGACCAGTCTGTGAGACCACTGCCTCCCACAACCATGACAAAGAGTTTTACCACAGAACCACAGGCAGTTACTATTAGTACCTAGAGTACACTAGTTCAGGCAGTTACTGTTAACACCTAGAGTACACTAGCTCAAGAAGTTAGTGTTAGTACCTAGAGTACGCTCTCTCATGCAGCAATCAGTCAGTTACAGTTAATAATAAGAATATATTAGTTCAGGCAACACTCAGGCAGCAACCATTATAACTTCTCCGCATCAGTGTGGATATATAGGAGGGGAGTCATGTTATCTGTGCTCCAGTAAAACAGAAACAACCGAGGCTAAACATCTATCTCTTTTCTGCTTTTCAGTGTAGAGGCTTTCATACTGATGAAGGGCTCTCGATCCAAGGAATAGAAACTGTCCTTTCGTTCCTTGGATTAAATTTGATTGTCTCCCATTATCAAGGCGCTACTTGACCCTTCAATTTTTTGTCTTTCCTATGAGTATAATAATAATAATAATAATAATAATAATAATAATAATAATAATAATAATAATAATAATAATAATAATAATAATAATAATAATAATAATAATAAAACTGAATATAAAAAAGAGTAAGGTGATGAGAGTAGCAAAACGATTAGAGAATAAAATATTGGACATCAGATTAGAACAATGTGTTGTGAGTATTATGCCTGGAACCTGGAACCTGGAACTATGCGGGGTTGCCAAGAGTATACCTTAGAGCGCTGAAGAGAGGTTATTGAGATGGCTTGGGAATTTAGAAAGGATGAAGCTAATTAGTATGACTACAGATCTTGGGTGGAGGAAGGCAGGGTAGGTGTCGTTCCTGGAAGGATAGGAGAGACTTGAACTTCTAATAGGCTTTTGTGACTGTTAGAATGAGTGGAGACTAAGTAGTTTTTTTTGAGTTAATGTGTTATTGAAGTGTGAACAAGTTTAGTTTAACCTAATTTTTTTACACGTCATACTCATCCTGTGGGCGGTAGTCAAAAGATTACAGAGGTACATAATGGGTCCAGGAACGCAGAGTTATGATAGCTGAACAGTGGTAATGAAGTATTTACATGTTTATATCTGGTCACAGTTATAATGAGTTTTTTATGCAGACATTAATTAGGTCACACACACACGCACACACACACACACACACACACACACACACACACACACACACACACACACACACACACACACACACACACACACACACACACACACACACACACACACACACACAGGAGCTATGGTTCGACCCCTGCAACCACAATTAGGTGAGCACAGACACACACAGTGTGAGCAAAGTCAGGGTATTTTTCCAGAATGGTTTGTAATATACCACCATGGATAAAATGCTCTGACATTTCTTGAACATTTCTGAGTGAGTTGTCTCTGAATTCATTAATTTTATCGCATTCCAGTACATAATGACGTAGGGTGTGACAATTGTCTATCTGGTAAAGTTTACATTTCGTTTGGTCTACATCTGGTGGTGGTGATTTAACCTCCACAGATACTTGTAACCCAGCCGGAGCCAGGCAGTAGTGACATTCAAGAGTCTGCTTATCTTGTTGGATGCACCATAGACATATTCTCAAACAGCCAAGATTGTAATCTACTTCCTCTTTGAGAGAATATAACATAGCCAATTGATCAGTTACATCATGCATCTGAACATCACTGTGAGATGGAATCTACAGAAGGTGCACTCCGACTCCACTGTCCACAGTTCTACCACACCTGTGTCTGGCTTTTGACACAAGCATACCGCAGTTTATACTTAATGAGTTGAGAGCATTTATAGATGACAGAATCAGTTACAATTTAAGTGTCAGCCTTAGGTACATGGACACATTTGAGTGCAAGGAGTATGGCAAACTGTTCTGTTTGAAGGGTAGAGGCCCAGTTATTGATGCGTGCTCCAATTTCTTTATGAGAGCCATCACTCTGTGTGACAACAGCAGCACTACCAGCTGCACCAGTGGATTGGTGAACAGAACCATCAACATAAATAATTTGTGAAAGAGTGTGCTGTGTGACTAAGTCATTAGTACAGTAAGGCATCCTGCTTGGCTTCAAGGCGAAGCTTTGGTTAGGATTTAAGAAGCTTTTTCGCAGGGACAGCGGTCGGTTTGGAGTGGGGTAATATTCCATGGAGAGGAGAAGCGCCGCTGTTGTCTTTCTTGACAAAGATCATATAGCTGTTTCATGCGGGGGTCAGTTCCAATTTTTACGATCCATCTGGAGAAGTGTTCACCAGTGTGAGCAAGGAAACATGAAGAAATTCAGGAAAACCAGTTACCCGTAGATGAGTCTTGGAGTCTGAACGAGGGGCGAGGATGTTTTAGTTCGGGGGTTCATTTGAATTGTGCTGTCAGGATGGTTCTGGAGAGACAGCGAGTGAATGAATGAGGGTAAATTTTTATCCTCTTGTCTTTGGGTCACCGTACTTCGACGGGAGGCGGCCGATGTTAAAAATAAAATAATAATGATAATCTCTCCTCTATAAACAACCCTTGTGCTGTAATTACAAGCAAAGTCTGGGTGATCATACACTTAACAGATCTCTCCCTCAAAACCTTGGTAAAAAAACTATCCCTGTCACGTCTTGTATAAGTAATTCACTTCTTTGTTAACTTTGTCAGCATCATCTGACCTAAACCCAGACTTCCCAGATATTCAACCGAGCCAGAGATAAATATACATGTATGAAGGGAAGATTTCTGAAAATACTAGATGCTCCTTAGCCCATTACTACCTTGAAGAGTCTTATAACTTCTATATTTCCCCAGGAACAACATAGTGTTGCCACTAGACTCCCCCGCCAGCGTCCACCTGCGGGTCTTTAAGACCAGCAAGAGAGCCAAGAGGATGAACGAGGCCGCAGCTACCATCGTTGCCGCGTCCTCCAACATGCTCAGAGAGTAGGTGTTGGGGAGGTAGTTTGCTGGAGGAAGGATGATAGGACACATGAGCTACATCTGGGTATAATAAATTTTCCAATCTTTCTTACAATATTTTGTGTTTAGTGAGGCGGGAGATACATGACTCAGAGAAGTTCCTGTACTCTTCAACAGAGTCTTTCACAGTTTCAGCCTGACGCCCCAGCAAGGTGGCTTTGGTTTGCGGGGCCTGCATGTACAGGACACCTTACTAGGAAGTATGTGTCCTCGTCGGCCCTCCTGTGATCCCAACAGTAAATACCGTACCCCTGATGGCTCCTGCAACAACCTCAAGAAGACTACCTGGGGCAAGAGCAACACTCCTTGCCAGAGGATCTTAGCTCCCACCTATGATGATGGTGGGTGATGATGTGTTTATGTATTTGAGTGTTTGCGTATTATTAATAACTTTGCTTCTAAAACTACTGCTACTACTACTACTGATACTACTACAACGAGTTATTGCTAATCTACTGCTACTGCTATTCCACTACAACTACAGTTTCCCTTGCTACAGGTGAAGTATTACTATTACCGTACACAAAGTACATACAGAAGTACAAGTAATGTACGTCATTAAAAGTTTTTGAATAAGATACATGGGCACCTCTTGGGTATCTTTATTGACAAAACCTTTCGCCGTTACAACAGGCTTGATAGGTGCTCGGTCCCTAAGCCTTGATGGAAGTTGGTCTGTAGAAGCCTGCTGTGCAATTCAACATTTCTGAAAAAACACCCAAGTACCGCACATGTATCTTATTCATTGTACATTATTGTTGTGTACATTTATGTACTATTCACTTGCCTCTCCCCAGGTGTGTAAGTTATTGTTGTGTACATGTATGTACTATAGACCTACCTTTCACCAGGTGTGTCTGCGCCACGCACAAGAGGGGCGGATGGGTTCCCTCTTCCCAATGTACGTCACGTCTCCAACACCATCATTCCAGACTTCGACATACCGGATCAAACGTTCACGTTGTCTGTGATGCAGTGGGCACAGTTCACAGACCACGACATTGCTCATGTTCCCTTCCCTCACATGGGTGAGTTGAATTATATGGGTGAGGGTATTATAAGTTTCTGAGGGTATTGTATGTTTTCGAGGGTACTGTGTTTCTAAGGGTATTGTGTGTTCTTGAGGGTAACTTATGCTTCTGAGGGTATTGTATTTTTCTGAGGGTATTACCCACACTGGAGTCAATTTCTGTGAAAATATTTACATACTGACACATGCTTGATGTTAAGAAAATAATGAAATGGTATAAGAAAATTACATCTAAATGAAGGTTTTATTACGTAGCGAACACGTCCATGACAACCTGATCTGTCCGGGACGTGACGGAGACACGTCTTGGCACATGGTAGTATGAACTTTGTCTTCAAACAATTTACTTTTATTTTTACATCGTGTGTTCATAAACTTAGAATCAATTCTTTAATTGTTATTGTATAATTTCAACATTTTTTTTGGAATTTTGTGGATAAATTTTCACTCATTTGTGGTAAGTGGCCAAGATCAAAGTGGCAACACTGCTTCTTACTACTTCCTAGTTGTGATGAATGGTTTGAAAAACCGACAAGTTGAAGATTGAGACACTTATGCAGCATATGGGAATCTTTATTCAGGAAACGTTTCGCCACACAGTGCTTCATCAGTCCAATACAAAGAGGAAGGCGTAAGGAGATTAGGAGTATGAGGTAATCAGTCCCTCAGCCTGGAGTCGATGTGTTCAGTCCATCAATCTTGGACTGATTGATGGACTGAACACATCGACTCCAGGCTGAGGGACTGATTACCTCATACTCCTAATCTCCTTACGCCTTCCTCTTTGTATTGGACTGATGAAGCCACTGTGTGGCGAAACGTTTCCTGAATAAAGATTCCCATATGCTGCATAAGTGTCTCAATCTTCTACTTCCTAGTTCTTCCTAGTCTTTCCTGGTCCTTCCTAGGTCTTGCTCCCAGTATGGAGATAAATTGTATCAAATATCGACACGATGGAAAAATAAACAGAAATGCAGTATAATGTGATCCTTTATTGACAACGTTACGCCCACACAGATTTGTTTGTGACTTTATCAAGACACAAATAGATCTGACTTAATAAAGTCCACTGTGCGGGCAAAACATTGTCAACAAAGAATCACATCATACTGCATTTGTGTTTATATTTCCACTGGTCCCAGTATGATGTCTCAAAGGCCATTTTCACTCCCTGGTCAATGTTTACCTTCCCTCAGAGAGCGGGGAGGGGATCCAGTGCTGCATGAATGGTCGACCTGTGACAGGTCCTCTCCGTCACCCTCGATGCTGGCCCATCGATACTGCAGGAGATCCCTTCTTTGGTCCCCAGGGCGGCGGCTGCATGAACTTCGTCAGGAGTATGGTGGCTGTCGGTGCTGGCTCCGACTGCACCTTCGGCTATGCCGAGCAGGTAGGTCATGTCCAAGAGGGGATTACCAATATATATTCTCCTCGTGATGGCATATTTTTGTGGTCTCGCGATGAATGGATGGAGGATGGTTACCGATTCAAATTATTATTATTATTATTATTATTATTATTATTATTATATTATTTATTTTATTATTATCACACTGGCCGATTCCCACCAAGGCAGGGTGGCCCGAAAAAGAAAAACTTTCACCATCATTCGCTCCATCACTGTCTTGCTAGAAGGGTGCTTTACACTACAGTTTTTAAACTGCAACATTAACACCCCTCCTTCAGAGTGCAGGCACTGTACTTCCCATCTCCAGGACTCAAGTCCGGCCTGCCGGTTTCCCTGAATCCCTTCATAAATGTTACTTTGCTCACACTCCAACAGCACGTCAAGTATTAAAAACCATTTGTCTCCATTCACTCCTATCAAACACGCTCACGCATGCCTGCTGGAAGTCCAAGCCCCTCGCACACAAAACCTCCTTTACCCCCTCCCCCCAACCCTTCCTAGGCCTACCCCTACCCCGCCTTCCTTCCACTACAGACTGATACACTCTTGAAGTCATTCTGTTTCGCTCCATTCTCTCTACATGTCCGAACCACCTCAACAACCCTTCCTCAGCCCTCTGGACAACAGTTTTGGTAATCCCGCACCTCCTCCTAACTTCCAAACTACGAATTCTCTGCATTATATTCACACCACACATTGCCCTCAGACATGACATCTCCACTGCCTCCAGCCTTCTCCTCGCTGCAACATTCATCACCCACGCTTCACACCCATATAAGAGCGTTGGTAAAACTATACTCTCATACATTCCCCTCTTTGCCTCCAAGGACAAAGTTCTTTGTCTCCACAGACTCCTAAGTGCACCACTCACTCTTTTTCCCTCATCAATTCTATGAATCACCTCATCTTTCATACACCCATCCGCTGACACATCCACTCCCAAATATCTGAATACGTTCACCTCCTCCATACTCTCTCCCTCCAATCTGATATTCAATCTTTCATCACCTAATCTTTTTGTTATCCTCATAACCTTACTCTTTCCTGTATTCACCTTTAATTTTCTTCTTTTGCACACCCTACCAAATTCATCCACCAATCTCTGCAGCTCTCTTCAGAATCTCCCAAGAGCACAGTGTCATCAGCAAAGAGCAGCTGTGACAACTCCCACTTTGTGTGTGATTCTTTATCTTTTAACTCCACGCCTCTTGCCAAGACCCTCGCATTTACTTCTCTTACAACCCCATCTATAAATATATTAAACAACCACGGTGACATCACACATCCTTGTCTAAGGCTACTTTTACTGGGAAAAAAATTTCCCTCTTTCCTACATACTCTAACTTGAGCCTCACTATCCTCGTAAAAACTCTTCACTGCTTTCAGTAACCTACCTCCTACACCATACACTTGCAACATCTGCCACATTGCCCCCCTATCCACCCTGTCATACGCCTTTTCCAAATCCATAAATGCCACAAAGACCTCTTTAGCCTTATCTAAATACTGTTCACTTATATGTTTCACTGTAAACACCTGGTCCACACACCCCCTACCTTTCCTAAAGCCTCCTTGTTCATCTGCTATCCTATTCTCCGTCTTACTCTTAATTCTTTCAATTATAACTCTACCATACACTTTACCAGGTACACTCAACAGACTTATCCCCCTATTATTGTTGCACTCTCTTTTATCCCCTTTGCCTTTATACAAAGGAACTATGCATGCTCTCTGCCAATCCCTAGGTACCTTACCCTCTTCCATACATTTATTAAATAATTGCACCAACCACTCCAAAACTATATCCCCACCTGCTTTTAACATTTCTATCTTTATCCCATCAATCCCGGCTGCCTTACCCCCTTTCATTTTACCTACTGCCTCACGAACTTCCCCCACACTCACAACTGGCTCTTCCTCACTCCTACAAGATGTTATTCCTCCTTGCCCTATACACGAAATCACAGCTTCCCTATCTTCATCAACATTTAACAATTCCTCAAAATATTCCCTCCATCTTCCCAATACCTCTAACTCTCCATTTAAAAAACTCTCCTCTCCTATTTTTAACTGACAAATCCATTTGTTCTCTAGGCTTTCTTAACTTGTTAATCTCACTCCAAAACTTTTTCTTATTTTCAACAAAATTTGTTGATAACATCTCACCCACTCTCTCATTTGCTCTCTTTTTACATTGCTTCACCACTCTCTTAACCTCTCTCTTTTTCTCCATATACTCTTCCCTCCTTGCATCACTTCTACTTTGTAAAAACTTCTCATATGCTAACTTTTTCTCTCTTACTACTCTCTTTACATCATCATTCCACCAATCACTCCTCTTCCCTCCTGCACCCACTTTCCTGTAACCACAAACTTCTGCTGAACACTCTAACACTACATTTTTAAACCTACCCCATACCTCTTCGACCCCATTGCCTATGCTCTCATTAGCCCATCTATCCTCCAATAGCTGTTTATATCTTACCCTAACTGCCTCCTCTTTTAGTTTATAAACCTTCACCTCTCTCTTCCCTGATGCTTCTATTCTCCTTGTATCCCATCTACCTTTTACTCTCAGTGTAGCTACAACTAGAAAGTGATCTGATATATCTGTGGCCCCTCTATAAACATGTACATCCTGAAGTCTACTCAACAGTCTTTTATCTACCAATACATAATCCAACAAACTACTGTCATTTCGCCCTACATCATATCGTGTATACTTATTTATCCTCTTTTTCTTAAAATATGTATTACCTATAACTAAACCCCTTTCTATACAAAGTTCAATCAAAGGGCTCCCATTATCATTTACACCTGGCACCCCAAACTTACCTACCCACAACCCTCTCTAAAAGTTTCTCCTACTTTAGCATTCAGGTCCCCTACCACAATTACTCTCTCACTTGGTTCAAAGGCTCCTATACATTCACTTAACATCTCCCAAAATCTCTCTCTCTCTCTCTGCATTCCTCTCTTCTCCAGGTGCATACACGCTTATTATGACCCACTTCTCGCATCCAACCTTTACTTTAATCCACATAATTCTTGAATTTACACATTCATATTCTCTTTTCTCCTTCCATAACTGATCATTTAACATTACTGCTACCCCTTCCTTTGCTCTAACTCTCTCAGATACTCCAGATTTAATCCCATTTATTTCCCCCCACTGAAATTCTCCTACCCCCTTCAGCTTTGTTTCGCTTAGAGCCAGGACATCCAACTTCTTTTCATTCATAACATCAGCAATCATCTGTTTCTTGTCATCCGCACTACATCCACGCACATTTAAGCATCCCAATTTTATAAAGTTTTTCTTCTTCTCTTTTTTAGTAAATGTATACAGGAGAAGGGGTTACTAGCCCATTGCTCCCGGCATTTTAGTCGCCTCATACGACACGCATGGCTTACGGAGGAAAGATTCTTTTCCACTTCCCCATGGACAATAGAAGAAATAAAAAAGAACAAGAGCTATTTAGAAAAAGGAGAAAAAACCTAGATGTATGTATATATATATATGCATGTGCGTGTCTGTGAAGTGTGACCAAAGTGTAAGTAGGAGTAGCAAGATATCCCTGTTATCTAGCGTGTTTATGAGACAGAAAAAGAAACCAGCAATCCTACCATCATGCAAAACAGTTACAGGTTTTTGTTTCACAGTCATCTGGCAGGACGGTAGTACTTCCCTGGGTGGTTGCTGTCTACCAACCTACTACCTATATTATTATTATTATTATTATTATTATTATTATTATTATTATTATTAGTATTATTATTATAGTAGTAGTAGTAGTAGTAGTAGTAGTTGCAAAGTTACAATTCTCTAAAAATAGTAAAAATTTCAATACGTGCGAGGTTTATGCAACAAGTCTGACATCACAAATAAATACATGCCAAGCTAGATAATAACACATACGAATACGTGGATCATAGGTAATATCTCTGCTGTATATTAATGGCATAGCTACATATATATAATGATACGATAAACTATGATATATATGTATAATTACTAGTCTATGAAATTGTTAAATGTGCCAACATGTCGAGCTATAAAATATTATTTGTGATAGTCCCAAATTCTGGCGTTTGAAATTCTTTAGTAATATATCAATCAGCTGACCTCTATAAGTTAAATACTCTATAGTTAAGGAAACCAAGATGGCGATGCTGGGGAGGAGATTGTTTGTATTAATGACTCACTCTCGGTGCCAAAAATCATTGACATCACCTTGTGTCTGACTGTTTAAACAACAGTGGCCCCTTCACTAGACTCAGAATTTCTAAAAGCTTCAGTACTTGTACTGTGAAGGAAGGGTTGGGATACTGCAGATTGGAAGGACATCTGAACTGTAATGTAGGCACGCCTCTGGCAAGACGGTCACGGAGTGAGTAATGGGAAAATGTCACTTCTCTTTCGGGTCACTTTCCCTCGAAGGGAGACGACCTGTGTGAAAAAATTCACTTTGCTTGGACGGGGGAGTGTGAGACTGTGACTCAGGATACCAGGTTCTGTACTAAAGTATTTATGTAGAAATAAAGAGTATAAATTGTTTCCACTTAAAATAATATCATCAATGTGTTCATAAGAAAACGCTAAATTCTCATGGATAATACACCTTTTCAATGAAAAACATAAATGAATAGATATTTGAAAACTATGAAGAAGCTGCTCGTTAACTATATAATTGGAAAACACATATAACAGGTTGGATAGGGAAGGTTATTAAAAATTGATGATGAATTAGACACACGAACAACATCTTTGTAGACGTTTCCCTGTCCATTGGCTTTATCAGTACAGTACTTGGACATAGTGTGAAGACTGTAGAAATATATACAGAAGACAGTAGAAGGCGAGGTAATCAGTCCCACAGCCTAGGAGCAGGTGATGTGCACTGTGGTCTCGAAGAATCTGAAGCACAGGCAAGAAAATTGGCTTTTATATAATGGGATCAGATGAGGTGCAGCAGACGAAGGTATTGTCACTGGTAGGCGGAAATCCCCAGTGGTGGCAGGTCATACCCAGGAGCTGGACCAGAAGTTAGCAAGTACGTTTAAAATATATTCCTTCTCTCGTAAACTGTGTTTAGGAAAGAAGGTATATATATTTTCCTGTAAAAGTGGGTCCTAGACAAGCATGTGTGATGTTACTGTGATTGTTTAAGATGCTCATGGAAAGGACTGCAGAAGAAGTTAATTCTGGAGTGTTAGGGAGAGTGCGGTCTTAAAAGATAATGAATACGACATTCACACACCTGCTGTTTACAGGTGAGTCCGTGATATTGGAAGATTCGGAAGACCATTATTATATTCGTGAAGAAGCACTAAACCCGTAATCATGCAAAGCCTTGGGAATGAGAGGTAGTCAGGTCTGATTCGAGGAAGGGGCTCGTATCTCTACAGTATTTCATTAGCTCAAGATCTTCCCCCATAATCCAGCCGCCCTTAAAGATATTCGGAGAGTAATTGTACAACTGAAAGGTAAACAGTCTTCTTATAACTTCTTCCTCTTGACAGCTCAACCAGTTGACTCACTGGTTAGACGCTTCGACAGTCTACGGTTCCGAGGAAGAGGAGCAACGAGCCTTAAGAGAGTTCAGAAACGGTCTACTCAAGACTTCTGGGAACAACCTCTTGCCAATCAACCCTAATCAAGGTGGACTCTGCGAGGGCAGAAACAAAGGTGTACTATGCTACCTGGCAGGTCGGTGTACAGTGCATTTTCCCCTCACTTGAACTGGAACTAGCAGTTCATTACAAAGGTGGGTGTTAATCATGCAAGATTGGTGGAAAGTCACAGAGGTGTGGTGGTTATTCATGCAGTCGGAGGAGAAACTACATTGTACAATACCACTACTAACTTAGCTTAACTGAATAATTCTGCAACCAGGGTACTTTCATTTTACAATACATTGCAAATGCTAGGGAACGTTCACCATACAATACCACTGTATAATACACCTGTACAATACCACCATTAGGGAAACACCACTATAAAATATTACAAGTAAGGTAATACTGCAATAAACCTACAATTTTGTTACTGTGTGAACATAGGTGACTCACGAGTGAATGAGCAGCCTGGTCTGACAGCCATCCACACGCTGTGGGTGAGGCAACACAACCGTGTGGCCAGGGACCTGCAGAGCCTCAACCCCCACTGGTCAGACGAGGCAGTGTTCCAGGAGACTCGCAGGATCATCATTGCTCAGATCCAGCATATAACTTTCAACGAATGGCTCCCTATCATCGTGGGTGAGTGCTGTGTTACTGAGTGGCTCTTTATTGTGAGTACTGTGTTAATGAATGGCTCTTTATTGTGAGTGCTGTGTTAATGAGTGGCTCCTTATTGTGAGTGCTGTGTTAATGAGTGGCTCCTTATTGTGAGTGCTGTGTTAATGAGTGGCTCCTTATTGTGAGTGCTGTGTTAATGAGTGGCTCCTTATTGTGAGTGCTGTGTTAATGAGTGGCTCCTTATTGTGAGTGCTGTTAATGAGTGGCTCCTTATTGTGAGTGCTGTGTTAATGAGTGGCTCCTTATTGTGAGTGCTGTGTTAATGAGTGGCTCCTTATTGTGAGTGCTGTGTTAATGAGTGACTCCTTATTGTGAGTGCTATGTTAATGAGTGACTCCTTATTGTGAGTGCTGTGTTAATGAGTGGCTCCTTATTGTGAGTGCTGTGTTAATGAGTGGCTCCTTATTGTGAGTGCTGTGTTAATGAGTGGCTCCTTATTGTGAGTGCTGTGTTAATGAGTGGCTCCTTATTGTGAGTGCTGTGTTAATGAGTGGCTCCTTATTGTGAGTGCTGTGTTAATGAGTGGCTCCTTATTGTGAGTGCTGTGTTAATGAGTGACTCCTTATTGTGAGTGCTGTGTTAATGAGTGGCTCCTTATTGTGAGTGCTGTGTTAATGAGTGGCTCCTTATTGTGAGTGCTGTGTTAATGAGTGGCTCCTTATTGTAAGTGCTGTGTTAATGAATGGCTCCTTATTGTGAGTGCTGTGTTAATGAGTGACTCCTTATTGTGAGTGCTGTGTTAATGAATGGCTCCTTATTGTGAGTGCTGTGTTAATGAGTGACTCCTTATTGTGAGTGCTGTGTTAATGAGTGACTCCTTATTGTGAGTGCTGTGTTAATGAATGGCTCCTTATTGTGAGTGCTGTGTTAATGAATGGCTCCTTATTGTGAGTGCTGTGTTAATGAGTGACTCCTTATTGTGAGTGCTGTGTTAATGAGTGACTCCTTATTGTGAGTGCTGTGTTAATGAGTGACTCCTTATTGTGAGTGCTGTGTTAATGAGTGGCTCCTTATTGTGAGTGCTGTGTTAATGAGTGGCTCCTTATTGTGAGTGCTGTGTTAATGAGTGACTCCTTATCATCGTATAAGCATATCTGTGCCTAGACTGTTTACCCTCCACCATAATGTATGTAAACAAATGCAACACTGTTGTTGCGCTCCTCTTTCTTCTTAACATATTAAATACACATATAACCCGCACATAAAAGAGAAAGGCTTACGACGACGTTTCGGTCCGACTTGGACCGAAGTCCAAGTCGGACCGAAACGTCGTCGTAAGCTTCTCTCTTTTATGTGCGGGTTATTTGTGTATCGTTCCAGTCACGGTATTGTGCCTTTTTTTGTTATTTAACATATTAAATGTTATTCTAACTCCAGAAAATGTTGTATATTAATAATTTTCTATTCTGGGAACATCACTCACATATATACATCAGGCACAGTCTTTTTATCCCCCTGGATGCTGCTGTTAACGTCTGTTCTCGAGGTGTGTGAATATACTCTCCTGAGTTTACGGGTGCTGACCTCCCGTTCTTCAACACGCTTCATAAATTTTCTTTGCCTGGCATGATCTGTCTTGTCATTTCGTGTTTACTTCATATATTCCGCTTGTTCACTATTGTTGACTTCCTAATGTTTCTCGAAATTATTGGGGAATTTAATTTCCTTGTTCTAGCATCACAAATGCCTGACTAAATCGCAGAAAAATTTCCTCTTTCATCAAAATTTGCTGTTTCTTATAGCCCTCGACTTAAAATAAATATAGAAATAATCTGGGTATAAAATAATGTACTAAAAAGTGTTCCGAGTTAATTTTGACTATAATATTTGTAAAATGACAATGAATTATTCCCAGTGCCCAATTATAAAGATAAGTAAAATTTTATAATGACAGTGAATTATTTATACTGGAAGACATGTGAAGTCAAGTGAAGCTTTGGAATCTTTCAGACTTTCTCTGAAAACCTCAGTGAGAATAGTGCATCACCTCAGATGAACATTTATTTTTAACACACTGGCCGCATCCCACCAAGGCAAGGTGACCTAAAAATAAAAACGAAAGTTTTTCTTTTTAAGTTTAATAATTTATACAGGAGAAGAGGTTAATAGTCCCTTGATCCCGGCATTTTAGTCGCCTCTTACGACACGCATGGCTTACGCAAGAAGAAATTAACAAAAATATAACATGAATATAACCAGTGTATAACAAATGTACAAAAATATAACAAAATTGTACAATAACTTCTTTGTAACTGGCAGGGGACAGCTTCATGCGTTCGTTCGGCATCAACACCATCCCGTCAGGCTACAGCTTCGATTATATTCCAAACTTCAACCCAAGTATGAATAATGAGTTCTCCACGGCTGCCTTCAGGTTCGGACACACCCTGGTGCAGGGTACCATGAGGTTAGTTCATACCCTGGTGCAGGGTACCATAAGGTTAGTTCATACACTGGTGCAGGGTACCATGAGGTTAGTTCATACCCTGGTGCAGGGTACCATAAGGTTAGTTCATACCCTGGTGCAGGGTACCATGAGGTTAGTTCATACCTTGGTGCAGGGTACCATGAGGTTAGTTCATACCCTGGTGCAGGGTACCATGAGGTTAGTTCATACCCTGGTGCAGGGTACCATGAGGTTAGTTCATACCCTGGTGCAGGGTACCATGAGGTTAGTTCATACCCTGGTGGAGGGTACCATGAGGTTAGTTCATACCTTGGTGCAGGGTACCATGAGGTTAGTTCATACCCTGGTGCAGGGTACCATGAGGTTAGTTCATACCTTGGTGCAGGGTACCATAAGGTTAGTTCATACCCTGGTGCAGGGTACCATGAGGTTAGTTCATACCTTGGTGCAGGGTACCATGAGGTTAGTTCATACCCTGGTGCAGGGTACCATGAGGTTAGTTCATACCCTGGTGCAGGGTACCATGAGGTTAGTTCATACCCTAGTGCAGGGTACCATGAGGTTAGTTCATACCCTGGTGCAGGGTACCATGAGGTTAGTTCATACCCTGGTGCAGGGTACCATGAGGTTAGTTCATACCGTGGTGCAGGGTACCATGAGGTTAGTTCATACCGTGGTGCAGGGTACCATGAGGTTAGTTCATACCGTGGTGCAGGGTACCATGAGGTTAGTTCATACCGTGGTGCAGGGTACCATGAGGTTAGTTCACACCCTGGTGTAGGGTACCATAAGGTTAGTTCATACCCTGGTGCAGGGTACCATGAGGTTAGTTCATACCCTGGTGCAGGGTACCATGAGGTTAGTTCATACCCTGGTGCAGGGTACCATGAGGTTAGTTCATACCCTGGAGCAGGGTACCATGAGGTTAGTTCATACCCTGGTGCAGGGTACCATGAGGTTAGTTCATACCTTGGTGCAGGGTACCATGAGGTTAGTTCATAACCTGGTGCAGGGTACCATGAGGTTAGTTCATACCCTGGTGCAGGGTACCATGAGGTTAGTTCATACCCTGGTGCAGGGTACCATGAGGTTAGTTCATACCCTGGTGCAGGGTACCATGAGGTTAGTTCATACCGTGGTGCAGGGTACCATGAGGTTAGTTCATACCCTGGTGCAGGGTACCATGAGGTTAGTTCATACCGTGGTGCAGGGTACCATGAGGTTAGTTCATACCCTGGTGCAGGGTACCATGAGGTTAGTTCATACCCTGGTGCAGGTACCATGAGGTTAGTTCATACCGTGGTGCAGGGTACCATGAGGTTAGTTCATACCGTGGTGCAGGGTACCATGAGGTTAGTTCACACCCTGGTGCAGGGTACCATAAGGTTAGTTCATACCCTGGTGCAGGGTACCATGAGGTTAGTTCATACCCTGGTGCAGGGTACCATGAGGTTAGTTCATACCCTGGTGCAGGGTACCATGAGGTTAGTTCATACCTTGGTGCAGGGTACCATGAGGTTAGTTCATACCCTGGTGCAGGGTACCATGAGGTTAGTTCATACCTTGGTGCAGGGTACCATGAGGTTAGTTCATACCCTGGTGCAGGGTACCATGAGGTTAGTTCATACCGTGGTGCAGGGTACCATGAGGTTAGTTCATACCCTGGTGCAGGGTACCATGAGGTTAGTTCATACCGTGGTGCAGGGTACCATGAGGTTAGTTCATACCCTGGTGCAGGGTACCATGAGGTTAGTTCATACCCGGGTGCAGGGTACCATGAGGTTAGTTCATACCCTCTTGCAGGGTACCATGAGGTTAGTTCATACCCTGGTGCAGGGTACCATGAGGTTAGTTCATACCGTGGAGCAGGGTACCATGAGGTTAGTTCATACCCTGGTGCAGGGTACCATGAGGTTAGTTCATACCCTGGTGCAGGGTACCATGAGGTTAGTTCATACCCTGGTGCAGGGTACCATGAGGTTAGTTCTTACCCTGGTGCAGGGTACCATGAGGTTAGTTCATACCCTGGTGCAGGGTACCATGAGGTTAGTTCATACCCTGGTGCAGGGTACCATGAGGTTAGTTCATACACTGGTGCAGGGTACCATGAGGTTAGTTCATACCCTGGTGCAGGGTACCATGAGGTTAGTTCATACCCTGGTGCAGGGTACCACGAGGTTAGTTCATACCGTGGTGCAGGGTACCATGAGGTTAGTTCATACCCTGGTGCAGGGTACCATGAGGTTAGTTCATACCCTGGTGCAGGGTACCATGAGGTTAGTTCATACCCTGGTGCAGGGTACCATGAGGTTAGTTCATACCCTGGTGCAGGGTACCATAAGGTTAGTTCATACCCTGGTGCAGGGTACCATGAGGTTAGTTCATACCCTGGTGCAGGGTACCATAAGGTTAGTTCATACCCTGGTGCAGGGTACCATGAGGTTAGTTCATACCTTGGTGCAGGGTACCATGAGGTTAGTTCATACCCTGGTGCAGGGAACCATGAGGTTAGTTCATACCCTGGTGCAGGGTACCATGAGGTTAGTTCATACCTTGGTGCAGGGTACCATGAGGTTAGTTCATACCCTGGTGCAGGGTACCATGAGGTTAGTTCATACCTAGGTGCAGGGTACCATAAGGTTAGTTCATACCCTGGTGCAGGGTACCATGAGGTTAGTTCATACCTTGGTGCAGGGTACCATGAGGTTAGTTCATACCCTGGTGCAGGGTACCATGAGGTTAGTTTCATACCCTGGTGCAGGGTACCATGAGGTTAGTTCATACCCTAGTGCAGGGTACCATGAGGTTAGTTCATACCCTGGTGCAGGGTACCATGAGGTTAGTTCATACCCTGGTGCAGGGTACCATGAGGTTAGTTCATACCCTGGTGCAGGGTACCATGAGGTTAGTTCATACCCTGGTGCAGGGTACCATGAGGTTAGTTCATACCCTGGTGCAGGGTACCATGAGGTTAGTTCATACCCTGGTGCAGGGTACCATGAGGTTAGTTCATACCGTGGTGCAGGGTACCATTAGGTTAGTTCATACCGTTGTGCAGGGTACCATGAGGTTAGTTCATACCGTGGTGCAGGGTACCATGAGGTTAGTTCACACCCTGGTGCAGGGTACCATAAGGTTAGTTCATACCCTGGTGCAGGGTACCATGAGGTTAGTTCATACCCTGGTGCAGGGTACCATGAGGTTAGTTCATACCCTGGTGCAGGGTACCATGAGGTTAGTTCATACCCTGGTGCAGGGTACCATGAGGTTAGTTCATACCGTGGTGCAGGGTACCATGAGGTTAGTTCATACCGTGGTGCAGGGTACCATGAGGTTAGTTCATACCCTGGTGCAGGGTACCATGAGGTTAGTTCATACTCTGGTGCAGGGTACCATGAGGTTAGTTCATACCCTGGTGCAGGGTACCATGAGGTTAGTTCATACCCTGGTGCAGGGTACCATGAGGTTAGTTCATACCCTGGTGCAGGGTACCATGAGGTTAGTTCATACCCAGGTGCAGGGTACCATGAGGTTAGTTCATACCCTGGTGCAGGGTACCATGAGGTTAGTTCATACCCTGGTGCAGGGTACCACGAGGTTAGTTCATACCGTGGTGCAGGGTACCATGAGGTTAGTTCATACCCTGGTGCAGGGTACCATGAGGTTAGTTCATACCGTGGTGCAGGGTACGATGAGGTTAGTTCATACCCTGGTGCAGGGTACCATGAGGTTAGTTCATACCCTGGTGCAGGGTACCATAAGGTTAGTTCATACCCTGGTGCAGGGTACCATGAGGTTAGTTCATACCCTGGTGCAGGGTACCATGAGGTTAGTTCATACCCTGGTGCAGGGTACCATGAGGTTAGTTCATACCCTGGTGCAGGGTACCATGAGGTTAGTTCATAACGTGGTGCAGGGTACCATGAGGTTAGTTCATACCTTGGTGCAGGGTACCATGAGTTTAGTTCATACCCTGGTGCAGGGTACCATGAGGTTAGTTCATACCCTGGTGCAGGGTACCATGAGGTTAGTTCATACCCTTGTGCAGGGTACCATGAGGTTAGTTCATACCCTGGTGCAGGGTACCATGAGGTTAGTTCATACCCTGGTGCAGGGTACCATGAGGTTAGTTCATACCCTGGTGCAGGGTACCATGAGGTTAGTTCATAACGTGGTGCAGGGTACCATGAGGTTAGTTCATACCTTGGTGCAGGGTACCATGAGTTTAGTTCATACCCTGGTGCAGGGTACCATGAGGTTAGTTCATACCCTGGTGCAGGGTACCATGAGGTTAGTTCATACCCTGGTGCAGGGTACCATGAGGTTAGTTCATACCCTGGTGCAGGGTACCATGAGGTTAGTTCATACCTTGGTGCAGGGTACCATGAGGTTAGTTTATACCTTGGTGCAGGGTACCATGAGGTTAGTTCATACCCTGGTGCAGGGTACCATGAGGTTAGTTCATACTTTGGTGCAGGGTACCATGAGGTTAGTTCATACCCTGGTGCAGGGTATCATGAGGTTAGTTCATACCTTGGTGCAGGGTACCATGAGGTTAGTTCATACCTTGGAGCAGGGTACCATGAGGTTAGTTCATACCCTGGTGCAGGGTACCATGAGGTTAGTTCATATCCTGGTGCAGGGTACCATGAGGTTAGTTCATACCCTGGTGCAGGGTACCATGAGGTTAGTTCATACCCTGGTGCAGGGTACCATAAGGTTAGTTCATACCCTGGTGCAGGGTACCATGGGGTTAGTTCATACCCTGGTGCAGGGTACCATGAGGTTAGTTCATACCTTGGTGCAGGGTACCATGAGGTTAGTTCATACCCTGGTGCAGGGTACCATGAGGTTAGTTCATACCGTGGTGCAGGGTACCATGAGGTTAGTTCATACCCTGGTGCAGGGTACCATGAGGTTAGTTCATACCCTGGTGCAGGGTACCATGAGGTTAGTTCATACCCTGGTGCAGGGTACCATGAGGTTAGTTCATACCTGTGTTTGTAAGTTACTGCACCATTATCACATCTTAAGAAAAACATTCTTAGTTTTCATTATATTCGTTATTTGTCATAGTAACCTTAAGCCCTCCAGAAAATACAGCCTTTTTTTTAAAAAAAATGTGTCACCAGCCCCAAAGATATTACCCATTCTTATTTACTTTTTATATAAGTTATACGAGTAGTTTAACGCAAATGTTTAGTGTATAGTTTGCTTAATATTTTTTCTTGGTGTATAACCAAAGAACCTTACCGGGAATCACGATGCTGTCCTGAAATCTAAATTAACCACAAACATATCAGTATTATTATTATTATTATTATAATCAAAAAGAAGCGCTAAGCCACAAGGAGAAAACTTATCAGTATGTGTGATCTTACCTTCATCTCTCTCCCATCGACTCACTCTTGCACAAGATCCTCGGTTCATTATTTTCCATGCTAACATCTTCAGTGAGTTTATCTGTAATGTAACATAAACAGTCACTTGATGAGATGAGGTCATGTTACATGTCAGAGAGTTGAGCAGCAAGATATGTTTCACCACAATGGTGGATGACATGAGGTGTAAGAAGAGTGAGAGATAGAATACTTAGTAGATAATGAATGTGAATACATTCATTTAAGAATGCATGAATATATTGTATAGGTAAACAAATGTATATATAAAAGATATCAATACATACAAATAAAATAGATAAAATCGTTTTTTCTCCATTAACTCATTCATGTATTTCACTTAATAATTTTTTTCGCTTGAGTTTGTACTTGTACATTTTTTCCTGTCTTGTGCTTAGCAGTCGGAGGATCGAACCTTAATTTTTCCTTGTGTTAAAGTCACATGGGGTTACATCTTAAGCAGGTTTAATAATATATCTGGTGGGTGGTAGTTTGTTTTCAGCGTCGGGGGGAGTGAGCTCAGTGAGGATGAGGGATCACTTCAACTCTCCTCATCTCATCCAGTCTCATGGTCTTTTGGATGACATTGTCAGAAGCTTCACTCAGCTTCCCATACAGAGCTTCGACCCATTCGTTACTCAGGAGCTCTCCAATCACTTGTTCCAGGTGAGCATCTCTCTTTTGTTTCTTTATGTTGATCTGAATGTTTACCCCTGATGTTGACGTGAATGTTTGTTCTTGAGGTTTACCTGAATGTTTGTTTCTGAGTCTGGCCTAAATATTAGTCTGTTCTTTATGATGATCTCAAAGATTCTCCCATTTATATACTTTTTCCAGTCTGAGCTGTTGATTTTAGCATTTCATCCAGCCGAATACTATGTCATCCTGTCTAGTTTGTAACCATCTCTCCAGCCTCTGAGACTTACCAAAGCCGTCTCTCCTTCCTCAGATATAAAGACATCTCTCCTTCCCTTCAACAGATGGTAAGCCATCTGTCTCTCTCTCTCTTTCTCCTTTCAACAGATGTAAAATCATCCTGCCCTCCTTCCAAATAAGAAAAGCTATCTTTCTCTCTCCCTCCAACAGATGATAAACCATCTCTCCCTCCAACAGATGATAAACCATCTCTCCCTCCAACCGATGATAAACCATCTCTCCCTCCAACCGATGATAAACCATCTCTCCCTCTAACAGACGTAAAACAATCTCTCCCTCCAACAGACTCCCAAGTTCAACTTCGGCATGGATCTTATGAGTTTGAACCTGCACAGGGGCCGCGACCACGGCATTGCCACTTACAACGATATAAGACACATTTGTGGTCTACCTCGTGCCCAGTCCTTCAAGGACCTACTTGACCAGATCAGTCCTGAGGTAAGTCCTGTCTAGTCCTTGATGGACCTCCTAACCAGAGCAACCCAAAGGTAAGTCCTACTCAAGTTCTTCAGAGACATTAACCAGATCATCCCAGAGCTAATTATAATTATAATGAGGAGAAGTGCCTAACTTATAGGAGTCATACAGCATGTAGGAAAAAGGAAGCAAGCAGGATCGAACTCAAGAAGGGAAGGATAGGTTAACTTCACTTAATGAAGGGTCCTTCACTGGGGTGAAACCCTCAGCTAAGCTCTGCCTAGTTCTTCACTACAGTCTTGATATTAGTTCTCTCTGAGCACCGTCCCAGAGGATAATTTATAGTATATTCGTATGCTGCCTCTCGTTAGGCAAAAAAGAAGAAAAAAAAAAAATCTACTGTGATACGCTCATCATTTTTTTTCTTACTTGTTGGAGTTAAGGAATCTTCTCCATCTCCTTTCCAATATCTTTGATTATTTTTTACTGACCACATCTTCTCTTTTCCTACTATTAAACAACTATGATACTATTTTGGCTTTTCTCTGGATATTTCATATTACTAGTAGACATTGTAGCCTGTGAAACACTACCCTAAAATACTAATAACTTAAAATAAAATTTTTAATGGGGTGGACTGGTAAGCCAGATGAAGGCCTCGATCAGATAACCAAAAGCTCCAATGGTGGGTCATCATCTGAGTAAGACCCGCGTCAGAAAACACTTGTCCTGTTTCCTGACGAACCTTTCCCAACCTAACTGCCCTAAAAATTTGCTCCAGTATCGGTCAAACATATTTTTTGCAATGAAATATAGAAGCAGTTGCAGACGGCATTGCTTAGCTCTCCTGCACATTCTCCTGGACCCAGACCGACATTTTGTCTTAACCTATCGCTCAGCTGTTGTCTGAAATTAATTTATTCTTATAATAATAATAAACTCGATATCTTAAACTCCATGATACAACTTATACAGACCATAGCTGACAACAGTGACGTACTATATAGAAGCCCCTGGTTATGCAGAGTATTTCGGGCAATCTGGGTTAATCTTGTCCCCCAGGATGCGACCCATACCAGGCGACTAACACCCAGGTATCTACTTGCTGCTAGGTGAACGGGGGCAGTTGATGAGAGGAAACACGCCAGAATGTTTCCACCCGTACAGGGGATTGAACCACACTGAGCTCATTGCGCTACCAACTTCTAGTTGTTCTGTCTCAGTTGACTAATATCAGTTTTAATGTATCGTAATGAGAAATCTTTACTCCTGTAAACAATGTTGCTTAATATTTACAATTATGAGTTTTTATGTACTATATTAAAATATTTCCTTCTGTAAACAGTCCCTTACTATTTACCATCTCATATATACCCTTTGTGTGACTCGCATGGGTTTAGTGCTTCATGTAATTCTACATCCTATTCTACTTTATATCTGAGCTACTTTTTAGTTTCAGACATTATATCTGGTTATTATTTACTTATATCTTACTCTGTATTTCGATTTAATTTTTTTGTAAGGCTTTTCAGTCAAGTTTATGTCTTCAGTTTTCATTTTCTTAATTTCTCTGACTTTTATTTGCAATTATTACATTTAATAGGCCAGGCGTTTCCATTTATTTTTTACATATTTGTTTATTCTCTCTGCTGTTATTTTCCCATCAAGTTGAGACTTATGTAAAGTATTTTATGATCGTTATGGTTTGTCTTCCCTTCTCTTTTATTCCTTTTATTTGTAAAGAGTTTTTTTTCTGTCTCGATACAGCCAAACTTAACAAGTTTTGTCTTCAATAACAGCTTTCTCTATTAGCTTTTTTTTTTTTTTTTTTTTGATATTTGCAGACCAGTTTTGATCACTGTGCTCAAAGTGTTTATTTTTGTTTTCTTTATTTAACTAATTCCGTAATTTGTTTCTTCTCAGTTTTATGGCTGATTTATTAGTTTTTTTGTATTTCTGCCTTTTTTTAATATTCATAGGTGAGTATTTCTGTGCACACACAGATACGGGACCATGAGATAGAGCTCTTCACGAGAAACTTAAATGTTGTTCAGTTAGAAATAACTGGTAATGATGACACCTTATTCATAATGATTGTAGCAATTTTTAATGTTAAAAACAACTAAACGGTTCTAGTAATTGTTAGACTCGTAAAAACATAAGAACATGAGAAAGAAGGAACACTGCCGTAGCCCTGTTGGCCTATACTGGGCAAGTCCTTCACAAATCCGAACCACTAACAGAATATTTGCTCAACCCACTTTAATTCTACGCTGATAAGCTCTGATATATCCACTAACTCATGTGCAAGTCTCACTCAAATTCAACCCCTCTCACTCATGTATTTATCTAGCCTAATTTTGAACAACTCACGAAGAGGAGAGAATTGGAACCCATGGCAAGCCTGACCTACAACTAGCATGCCAGGACTCTGACCACTCAACTATACCAGTCTGCTAGATTTAAGAAGTTAATTTAACGTCTTTATTGTACACCCCATACCCATCCTGTGGGCGGTAGTTAAAGGATTACAAAGGTACATAATGGGTCCAGGGACTGGACCGCAAAGTTTTGATACCTAAACACGGACCGAAACGTCAGCATAAGTTTCCTCTCCTAAGTACTGGTTATTTGTGATTTGTTCCAACTACAGTATTGTATTTTTTTATTCCATAAGACTACCTTGCTATTGGCTCACGTCTTATCCGTTTCCTGGACGGTTTTAATGACAGAGTTAATCTTAGGTCTCTCCTGTAGGTGGTAGAGAGACTCGCCAGCATGTACAGAAGCGTTGATGACATAGACTTCTTCGTGGGGGGACTGGCCGAGCGCTCGGTCTCTGGTGGTCTCCTGGGCTGGACCTTCCTTTGCGTCGTGGGAGACCAGTTTGCCAGACTCAAGAAGGGAGATCGATTCTTCTACGACCTTGGAGGACAGCCAGGCTCCTTCACTGAACGTAAGTTTGTTGTAGTGTAGTGAACAATGTGCATTCTTCCCACAAAATGAGCTTAATTTCTGCATTTTTATGCGCTATTTTTTACTCATTTTTTTTCTCTCAGTATTCTCTGTCATCAATTCCTAGCACTGGCTGCCAATTCTCATTACAGGTCACCAATTCCCAGCACTGGCTACCAATTCTAAATACAGGTCACCAGTTCTCAGCACTGGCTACCAATTCTCATTACAGGTCACCAGTTCTCAGCACTGGCTACCAATTCTCATTACAGGTCACCAGTTCCCAGCACTGGCTGCCAAATCACAATGCACATCACCAGTCACTTGGTATTTTCTTGTAGTTTGTTGACCTGGAGATAAAAATATACAAAAAATATCTATGATGGCTGACAGACAAAAAGAGTGAAGACTAATGAGACTGACCGATAGAGGTAGCTTGAAAGGAAGAGACCTAGGACCAAAGATGGAGAGGAAAGAGGAAGTGAGCTATCGAGAAGTCATGAAATAATCCTTTAGTCTGAAGGTGGTTAGGATATGGAATGATCTGAATAAAACACATATTTCATACTCTTTTTTAAGTGTGGGTACAACAGGCCCCATAAAGCCAGGAAAGATAAAGAGATTGGTAGTGAGTAATTGAGAGAGAGGTAAAATTTCGAAATTTAGTCCTGTAACCCCAACTGTAAATGCTTGCACACGCACGCACACTTGTGCGCACACACACATACACAGGCCAGGAGCTGTTACTCGACCCCTGCAACCACAAATAGGTGACGGCACACACACACACACACCCCTCCCTCAAACACCCCACCTCCACCCTTTCCCACCCCCACTACCAGTAAGTCTTGTGGTTGTCTTGCAGCTCAGCTTGAGGAGATCCGTCGCACATCATGGGCCAGGATCATCTGTGACAATGCTAATGTAGAGGCAGTTCAGCCTCTCGCCTTCAGGCAGACCAACATCAGAATGTGAGTTGATGCCTCTGTAAATGTTCACAGTCAACACCGGTATTAAATGTCAAGTATACATAATATGTACACTGAGTGTTCATCAGTGCCCTATGGGAGGGTTAGTACATTGTCCTTTGGCCGGTTCGCTGTACATTTACCAGCGCATTGCGGTTTCTCCAGTGCACTGTTTGTGCACTGCGCACCTGTTAGTATACTATGGGTTCACTACACGACTGTATCTTGTGTCAGGACACATTATAAATGGTGTGAGTTGAAGCTTGCAGCTCAACATCAATACATCATTTCTCTAAAATCAGTTAAATTATTATTATTTTATTTAGGGGAAAACGCTAAACCTGTGCTAATGAGCAAACATTAAATATTAACTGTGAAAGGCTGTTGAATTCGCATAACTCTTCAGTGTACATCTTGTAATTATACATACATGTTATACAGTTTTGTCTTGTTTATTATCATTCACTCTGTCATCTCTACTTTTTAAATATTAATAATTTCTATTTTATAGTTTTTCTTTTTATCTATTTTTTCTGCCTTCAGTTACTTTTTTTTTACTTGTATAAATTTTCCTTCAGTGGAGTGTGTCTTGTTGGCTCGTCCATTCCATAAGTTCAAGATCATAATAATAACAATCTTTGTAAAAATTATAATTTGCATTGTTGTTTATCTCAAAAGTATCCATATCTAGGGTAATTATTAATACCTTTGTCTGTATGTGTGTATGCAGCAACCAGCCAGTGTCGTGTCAAGGTCCCAACATCCCACGACCAAACTGGGCCCAGTGGCTGGGAGAGAGGCCGGCAGCCTAACATCAACTATTATCTTCAAGATGTGTTGATGTGTGGTCACAATCTTAGCCAAGTAGACGATGTCAAGTAAGAAAATGATGAAGAAAGACGAAACTATCATATCTACAGAGAGAAAATCTTTTTTTTACACATTTTTTTTTTTAAATATATTGATTATACTTTACATACCTGGTAATTTTTAAATTTCATTTGTATAACTGGTAGATGTCCTGTCTTTAGTAACTGTACTTGTCCAGTTTGTCATTTAATTTCATAATAATAATATTAATAATAAAATTGCTATTATTACAGTAATTATTTATATTTTTGGATGTCTAATAATTTCACTTACATTCAGAAATATTATTTTAGTAATGCTTACAGGGGTAAGATACATTTTATAATTACTAAGATCTATAATACACCAAACGTCAAGTTTACTCTCTAAGTAACACTGAACAGAGGTGTACAGCAGCATACTATTGACGGTACTGTAGAAAAGACTCGGTTACAGAACAGGTCTTTATTGGGACAATGTTTTGCTCTGTATAGAGCTTAATCAAGTCACATAAAGCTCTACACAGTGTGAATTGTAGAAATGAACGCTTGCTCTGCATTTGTATGTCACTAAATGTCAAATGTTCTTTGGAATGGAAGATTTATATGTAACAAGAATATTTCAGTGATGTTAGCATAAGTTTTTGGTTAAAATTCCTACAATGTCGCCCTGGTCCAGTGTGTCTTCTTTTCAAAGTCGATAATTTTTTCCATGTGTATACAAGAGGGCCCCGCTTTACAGTGCCTTATTTTACAGCGTTTCGTTAATACAGCGGTTTTCGGTTATACCCATTCTTCATCTGTTCAGGTTTCCTACAGTAAGTATATTCACCACTCACTATAAGCTAAGGTCTAAAATATCTTAAGGTAAGTAATGTATCCTAGGTAGTAGGTAGGTAGACAGCAACCACCCAGGGAGGTACTACCGTCCTGTGGTAGTAGGTTGGTAGACAGCAACCACCCAGAGAGGTACTACCGTCCTGTGGTAGTAGGTTGGTAGACAGCAACCAGCCAGGGAGGTACTACCGTCCTGTGGTAGTAGGTTGGTAGACAGCATCCACCCAGGGAGGTACTACCGTCCTGTGGTAGTAGGTTGGTAGACAGTATCCACCCAGGGAGGTACTACCGTCCTGTGGTAGTAGGTTGGTAGACAGTATCCACCCAGGGAGGTACTACCGTCCTGTGGTAGTAGGTTGGTAGACAGTATTCACCCAGGGAGGTACTACCGTCCTGTGGTAGTAGGTTGGTAGACAGCAACTACCCAGGGAGGTACTACCGTCCTGTGGTAGTAGGTTGGTAGACAGCAACCACCCAGGGAGGTACTACCGTCCTGACAAGTACGTGTAAAACGAAAGCCTGTAATTGTTTTACATAATGGTAGGATTGCTGGTGTCCATTTTTCTGTCTCATAAACATGCAAGGTTTCAGGTACGTCTTGCTACTTCTACTTGCACTTAGGTCACACTACACATACATGTACAAGCATATATATACACACCCCTCTGGGTTTTCTTCTATTTTCTTACTAGTTCTTGTTCTTGTTTATTTCCTCTTATCTCCATAGGAAAGTGGAACAGAATTCTTCCTCCGTAAGCCATGCGTGTTGTAAGAGGCGACTAAACTGCCAGGAGCAAGGGGCTAGTAACCTCTTCTCCTGTAAAAATTACTAAATTTTAAAAGGAAACTTTCGTTTTTCTTTTTGGGCCACCCTGCCTCGGTGGGAAGCGGCCGATTTGTTGAAAGAAGATATATATATATATATATATATATATATATATATATATATATATATATATATATATATATATATATATATATATAATATATATATATATTATTTCCTCTTATTTCCATGGGAAAGTGGAAAAGAATTCTTCCTACATAAGCCATGCGTGTCGTAAGAGGCAATTACAATGCCGGGCTAGTAACCCCTTCTACTGTATAAATTAATAAATTTAAAAAGAAAATCTTTTGTCTTTTGTTTTTCTTTTAAGGTCACCCTGCCTCGGTGGGATATGGCCGGGGTGTTGAAAAAAAATGTGTGTACTGCATAAGCATTTTTAAGGCCTAGCATTATTGCTCATTTATTATATGATAGTGTGAGGAGTGACACGAAAGAATCACAGAGGCATCACCATACATTCAATTCAAGTTTATTCTCTATAAGGGTTACAATGTGGGGTTTACAGGTTTTGGGTATTGTGTGGTTTACATGTTATAAAATACTAATTACAGAGGGGGCCACTAGGACACCTAGAATAGCTAGGCATTTCGAGCAGACTTAGATTAATTCTTAACATTTAGTTTAGTTTAGCAATGCGAATGCTTTTGTTTTGGCACAATACAAAGTGTCTATATTGGAGTATCATAGGCAAACTTATGACTAGTTAGGATTTATTATTTTAAGATTAAGATTAGTATTTCTGGGTTTATAGTCAGTGGGTGAGTGAGTGTAATTGTGAACCACCAGGTGGTTATCATGTAGTTAGTTGTCGGGGTGGATCAGGGAGATAAGATGTTTTCTAACTGTAGTTTAGAAAGTGATGAATGTGTCTGCAGTTCTAGAGTTTTCAGGTAGGGTGTTCCAGATTTTAGGTCCTTTGAAATACTACATTGAATTTTTGTAAAGATTTAGTCGAACACGGGGAATGTCATAGAGATGTTTGTGTCTGGTGTTATGCCTGTGGATCCTGTCACAACTATCAAGAAAGCGTTTTAGGTCAAGGTTAATATTGGAATTTAAGGTCCTGTAGATATAGATTGCACAGTAGTAAGTGTGGATGTTCTGAACAGGGAGTAAGTTTAGATCTATGAAGAGTGGGGGGGGGGTGTTGCCAGGGATGGGATTTAGTGATTATTCTTACTGCGGCTTTTTGTTGGGTTATTATTGGCTTTAGGTGTGTTGTTGCAGTTGAACCCCAAGCACAGATAGCATAGGTGATGTATGGATATATAAGTGAATGGTATAGTGTGAGAAGGGCAGTTTGCAGCACGTAGCATCGTATCTTGGAGAGGATCCCCACCGTTTTGGATACTTTTTTTGTTATGTGTTGGATATGGGTGCTGAAATTTAGGTTGTTGTCGAGGTATAGGCCAAGGAATTTGCCCTCATTATGTCTGGCACTCATGGAAACCAGGCTCACAGGAATGATAACAGACACCATAGAGGGGGTGGAGGAGTTGCACTCTCTTAGAGTGCATTTGTGGATGACAGAGAATCAGTTACGATTAAAGTTATGGCTGTTGGAGATAATGAAAGGCAGAGTACTCAGCTGTGTTTGCTCTCGCTTCGCCTCTGGTAACAACAACAACAACAACAACAACCACTGCTCACAGCTATAAACACCGTATAACCCTCCTTTTTCTAAATTACATTATATCATCACCACAGATGGTATCGTTACAATACAAAGATTATATCATCATCCGAACTATTGATAAATGCAACATATCTGAAGGTTTAACTACTCTTTTGAAACGCCTGAGATATGGAGAGTTGGCAGTGTCGTGAGGTGCAGCCTCTCCTCTCACACTGTCGTGAGGTGCAGCCTCTCCTCTCACACTGTCGTGAGGTGCAGCCTCTCCTCTCACACTGTCGTGAGGTGCAGCCTCTCCTCTCACACTGTCGTGAGGTGCAGCCTCTCCTCTCACACTGTCGTGAGGTGCAGCCTCTCCTCTCACACTGTCGTGAGGTGCAGCCTCTCCTCTCACACTGTCGTGAGGTGCAGCCTCTCCTCTCACACTGCTGTGTTCATCATCAAACCTTCCGGGAGAGTCTTCCTGCATACTAACCTGATCCTCAAGTTTATTACCACTAGTATCTGTTGTGTTCCTCTGACCATAAAGGTGTCCTGTTCCTATACTGGCCAGTAATTACCAACACACTTCTTACAGTTTCTGGTACTGTTGGAATCGGTGTTTGCTCTTCGTCACTCCTAAACCTTGGCATTAGTTGATCTGTATGCCTTTTCCATACTAAATTCCCAAAACCTCTAACTTGTACCTTATGATTTCTAACCCTTATTATTATTTTAATCAAAGAAAGCGCTAAGCCGACAAGGGTCATATAGCTCCTAGCCCCTAATACCTCCACAATCTTTCCTTTTATCAAAGGGTCACCTTTCCCAAAATTCCTGACATACACAGCATCATCAACTTGAAATTGTTTATTATGCCCCTGAAGGCATGTTAGCCAATGACTTGTCTTCTTTAACATGACGTTTGACAGCCGCTGCTGTAGCTTTAAAATTCCCATTTAACATCATTTCTGCTGGTGTCTTATTAGTGGATGAACTGTTTTCCCCTGGTTATATAAGAACCTACATAGTCTGGTATTGAGAGAGCCTTTTGTAAATTTGTGTAACCCTTCCTTCACTGTCCGTACTGCCCTCTCTGCCAGACCATTTTATGATGGATGGTGTGGGGCTGGAGTAATATGTTCAGTAATATTCCTAACAAAAAAAGCTTCCAGTTCTTGTGATACAAAATAAGCAGCATTATCTGACACAGCTATGTCTGGTAACCCATAATCACAAAAGAATTTCCTCAGCAATTCAGTAGTAACTGTGGTTGTCATGGAACTAGTGACGTATACATCTAAGAATTTTGAAAAGGAATCCACAGTTACCAAATAATATTTGCCCTCCACTGGGCCTGCATAATATATATGAATTCTAGACCATGGTTTCCCAGTGCTGGGCCAAGGTAGTACAGGTCATGACATTGGCCTAAAATTTTTAAAACAAATAGAAAAATTGTTGGTGACTTTTGCAATACTTTGATCAATGTTTGGCCACCAGACCCACTTCCTAGCTTCTGCTTTCATGGCATTGATACCAGTATGGCTAGCATGTAAATGCTCTAATATCTTACATCTCAATTCTACTGGCACTACCACTCCTTCTGTACAATAATACATCCTCTACGGCAGTGGTTCCCAAACTTTTTCAGCTTGTTACCCAATTTAACATGCCACATAAAGCATGTTACCCCTTTCACAAAATGTTGTTATTATTGATATATATGGCTAAATTAAAACACTTGAGATATTTTCTTTTATTTATTGTATTTGAACATTGTGCATCTCTAATGGCTATTACCAAAGATGTCAAGAACATCAGTGGGATGGATGGAGTTGCATACTTGAAGCTAGTTTAGGAATTCTTGACTTCATACCAGCTTATGTCTACCTCGGCTAAT